ATATATATATATATATATATATATATATATATATACTACATGTCTTGTCGCCTATCCGAGTTTAAGGAACAACAAATAATTTGACTTCTAGTTGATCAGAAGGGGCTTATAAGACAGGCAAAGGCCTCTAGATTATGCTTATTTTGCCAAAATAATATATGACAATGCTTTGATTTTTTATTTTATTAGGACAGTAAGGTCTGACCTTGCTTAGACAAAAGTCTTGTCACTGAACAGAAATAATGTCCAGTATAGAATATAAAGTCATGCTGCAGTGGAGACAGAATGAATATTGTGTCTGACTCCATCATGAGCTTGGAGGACTGCATCCATACATCTCTGCACTGACTCAAATCACTGATTAATAAAGTCATCAGGAATGGCAAAGAAAGAAAAGGATTCATCTTCAATGCCTCCTCCTTCATCTTACCCCAGACATGCTCAATAACGTTCATGTCTGGAGACTGGGCTGGCCAATCCTGGAGCACCTTGACCTTCTTTGCTTTCAGGAGTTTTGATGTGGAGGCTGAAGTATGAGAAGGAGCGCTATCCAGCTGAAGAATTTGCCCTCTCCTGGGGTTTGTAATGTAATGGGCAGCACAAATGTCTTGATACCTCAGGCTGTTGATGTTGCCATCCACTCTGCAGATCTCGCACACGCCCCCATACTGAATGTCACCCCAAATCATGATTTTTCCTTCACCAAACTTGACTGATTTCTTTGAGAATCTTGGGTGATTGGGATGCAGCTCAACAGATCATTCTTCAGAAAAATCGACCTTCTGCTACTTTTCCAAATGATCAACTAGAAATAAAGTTATTATTTGTTGCTCTTACAACTGGAATCGACAACAAGACTTTTGTCTAGTAGTGTGTGTATTTATCAGTGCTTCCCACACATAGACTTTACTTGGGCGGGCCGCCCAGGTATATTTACAGCTGCTTAAGTATATTAAGTGGCGCCTTTTTTGTATCCACCCACTAAAACAAAACATCCGTGATCGATTACATAGTGGAAAATCCTTTTACCAATTTTGTACTGTGCGAGAACTGTCAACACTGCCACAGGCACGTGCTCTGCAGACCCACAGAGCCATGCCATTTTGCGTCCGGCCGGGTTTCTCAAACTACTCAAATTTCGGGGATTTGTCTTTTGCTTTCGCTTTCTAAAGCTGTTTAAATGTTGCGAGAGAAACTTTAAATAATTACTTAATTATTTAAATATTTTAAAATATTTAAAACTTAAAACTGAGGGAGGACTATATTACAAAATCTAAATTTGCTGCAAATTATTTGTACACTATTAGAAATTGCTAACTCATTTGCCCTATTTAAATCTACACATTTTATTCTTGTAATTATTATAATTATTTAAGATATTGTCTGTTTTTATTACTTTTTTCTGTTAGTTATTTCCTCATTTGCTGTATATTTTATCAATTTTATGATGTCAATGAATTACACATTTTATACATCTAAAATGCTTTGGCAATAC